GCAATTAACCATTGAGCATGTCAATTCAGACATTAGGAAACAGTTGCCACTGGTGGAGCTGACTGTAACATATCCCATCTGAGCTACTGTGCACATATCTAAGTGGGACTTGGCAGGTAGATAAAGATTTGTTGGTTCCTGTTTGGGGGATTGCTGTAGACTTGCTGCTTCAACAGGCTTTCAAATTGGGTTTGAGTCTTAGAGAACAAACTGAACCCTGAAATCCTTTCCTGGCATTGCAGCCCCTCCCCCGCAAAGTGACAAGTATAATAAGCCAGTGCTAAGGAAGGCTCTAAACCAGGGGTCTTCAAACTACGGCCTGCGGGCCACATGCAAATACAAATATTGTATTTGTTCCCGTTTTGTTTTTTTACTTCAAAATAAGATATGTGCAGTGTGCATAGGAATTTGTTCATAGTTTTTTTTAAACTATAGTCCGGCCCTCCAACGGTCTGAGGGACAGTGAACTGGCCCCCTGTTTAAAAAGTTTGAGGACCCCTGCTCTAAACCATGGGACCAGCTGCTGTGAGCTGTTGCAGAAGCTCAAAGGGGGACATGCTTTAGGGGAGAAAAATTGGCTGTTACTTAGTTTTGAAATACACACGAAGTTTAGTAAACAACAATGTATATTAGTCTGAATGTGTGTACACCTATGGGAACCACTGCTGATTACTTGCGCCCGAGTGCGCTGGGCTCCGCTTTCCATTGCTTCGTCCAGTGAGAACACAGAGATCTGGAATAGTTAAGGCACCGTCTGCCTTAGGTGATGTGTGATCTGTCAGCTGAGAAACTGCTGTTTACCGAGGGCTGGCTAGGTGTCTGAAATACTGCTCAGATTATTGTAAATAGCGTACATATCCTGCGTCAAGGAGCATTTGACTTTTGGGGGGCGGGATTTTCTACCTGGAAGACCAAGATTGGGACCTTGGTAAAATATGTTTTTAACTTACCTATTGAAGAGATCTAAAAAACATGTTAAGACACAAGGAAATCTGAAACAGACTAATTCAGTAGAACCTCAGAATTGGAATGTTTTATAATCCATCTTCCTCATTTTAGGGAGGAGGCTACTCGGGTACCTAGGTACCAGAACCAGTCGTTCTTACACTATGGTCAGTGTGCCTTTCCCTCCCTCACTCAGAATTAGTGCAGGGACACTCGGTAACAGGGCTGACCCAGGATCCAGTGAGAGACCAGGGTGGCTTGGAAATCAGAAACCAGGTGCAGGGACCATCCACCCGGGGCCAGTGTGATCTCGGACTTAACACCGTGTGTGACCTTTGTGCTTAGACTTCCCTCAAGCAGTCTTCACTGTGTCCGGTGCTCAAATTCTTGATACATTTTTTAGAGAGTGGGAGGATTCATAACACCATTCTTGAGAAAAATACCACTTACCAGCAATTAGCTAAGCTACTTATATGGAGGCCACCCAGTTAGGCTCCGAGGCATCAGTGGCCGTCTGCACAGCCTGTGAGGGCTATAACCCCACCAATCCACTTGCTGTGTCCCTTGAAAACCTCTCCCTGCTTCCGATCCATTTCCAGGCAGTTTCAGGGAGTATCAGAGACCTCCCCGTGGGCCATGTCATATCCAGCAAGCTTTTACAGGAAGCCATCTCTCTCTCTCTCTGTCGGGGCTTCCCCCTAATCACTGGCCCAATGGTGGACTTAAGTGAGGGCTGATAAAAATCTGCCTATTTGCATCTAATTCTTCTCAGTTCCCAGTTTCTTAAAGCCGACGTTGTTTTTCTTATGTGACACCCAGAGAGTGACTTTTAAAACTCACCTTCCTTGCAGCACATCTGTGGGAAAGGACTGACACTCCATAAACTCCGAACAGGATTTAAACGTTTCATTTAATGCATTTGTTAGGATCAGGGGGAAAGAGAGCCCAAAGCAGAGAGAGACAGGGAGTGGTGTGGGGCCCCGGAAAGTGGTTGCTGTGTGGCCACAGGGAATAGGGAGTGTAAAAAGCTTCTTGTACACATTGCCTCATCTATAAAAATCAGAGCCGCTTGGCATCTCTCTAAGTAGCAAATGGATCGAGAAGCTGTAGAGAAGAGTTGTTGGCAGGAAATGGTCCCCAGAGCTATGATATTTTCAGCCTCTGTGCATTTCCCTATAATGCATAGACCATGGATCACAGAGCTCAGTTCACGCATCTTTGCTACCTGAGGACTAAATGTTGCAGGTTCTGGTTTGTCTGACAACCACACTTTCTCGGAGTAGGAGAATTAAGAGGCTTTGTTGAAGTAAAAAGAAACTGAATTTTGCTTTTGAGGTGCAGCAGAGAGGAAAGTGGGGTGAAGAAGTATTTAGAGGAACAAGGATGGAGGAGATGGTAGTGACAGAAGCAGAGAGAGTAGCAGTAGAGAAGAGAGTATAGGGAACTTGGGCAGGCTCTCTCTCTCTCTCAACTTTTAAGACTTCGGCTTTAAATAGAAATCTCTGTGTTCTAGAAACAAGTAATAACTGACCTGTAGGTGTGAAACCTTTCTTGTGTCTGAAACTTGCTATACACATGTACGTCCCACATAGAGCCCAACGTAAGATTCCTAGATGATTGGCTTTTTATCCCAAAATGGATTTCCACACAACACTGAATTCGCTGGGGGGCTAATAAATTTGTGGGGGAAAGGGGCCCTCAGCAGATTTTGCAGCCACAGGAACTCTGAGTTTAATTTAAATGCCAGGTTAGTCCCAGAGTGAACTGGTTGTTCTGCTGTGTTTCTCCCTTTGAAACATGGAGGCAGCAGGTTAACTGGGTGCCACAGAGACTATCCACAAAATAAAAAGCCTCCATTTCCTGTCCTAAACATCTGCAAAAGTATACTGCCCTCCATGACTCGCCCTTGACTACACGTTGACCCTGCTCCTCTCCCCAGATTCAAAACAGACAAACAAACAAGCAAACACAAAAAGCAAGCCAACCCTTACTGCTGAAGACAATAGACAAAACATCAAAATCCTTTTCAAGCCCCATGCTATTTAGCATTCAAAAAAATATTCTAGGTCATAATCCCTGGCAAGATTTACTTTGAGAGTGAAATAGACACTGAATAGTGGGCAGGATGTTAAAGGACATTCAAACCTCTCAATCCCAACCCTTTGAGTCACTGACACTGTTTACACCAGTTGTGCTTCTTCCCAAGTAAAAGGGGCACTGGATTGTTATTGAAATTTTTAGTCTTCTATCCGCTACTGTGAAGTGTTAATTACTATAGCATAGCAGAGGATCCTAACCCGGGCGTAAAAATAAACTCAAAACCTCTTGCCAAGTTCAAGCTTGAAGCTATTGCCTCCTCTGGGTGATTTTCACATTCACGGTTTTCTCTATTCTCCAAAACTGTTCCATTTCTGAGCCCTAACTGTGCCCAAGACCATCTGTAGCTCCACTCCGGCCCCACTTTCTCAGCTTGGGTTGTGACCCTCAGCTCTGACATTCAGGACCTGGCTAACCCCCCTTGGACTGTTCTGCCTGGCTGGGCCTGATGACTCTAAATTCAAGAGCAGGCGGGGTCTCTTTTTAAATCTCATCCTTTCTCTAGAAAACGTTTAATTTGGCAAAGACAATGCATCCCATGTTTTTGTAACAACGGCTTACCCCTGGGAGAATTAACGTCACTATGTACTTTTTAGCAGCTACTGTTCCTCACATTTAAATAATTTATTAATTTTTTTTTGAGCAGCATCCTGATGCCTTCTTGATGATATTGGTTGCTCAGGGGAAAGACGCCCTCCCCAAAGGCTGGCCAAGCCCTCTCTTCCTTTCATTAGCAGAGTAACCCTGTGTACCCGCCGCCTGAGCCTGCAGGGAAGGGTCATGTTCCCACTGGGCCCTCCTGTCCTCTCGCCTGGCTGAAGAGCTGAGTCTAAATGAAATATAAAATATTAACTGTCCGAGAAAACAGAGGGTGCTCCTGCTGGGCCTGAGGTTTGGCCACGGCTCACTGGGCTCAGGCCTCTCTGTCTGGTCCCCACTTCCTCCCTCGGTGGGAACCACGAGTGGAATCACAGCTCTCCAAAGCGAATTCTCTGGACCGGCAACCAGACTCCTTGCCCCGTTCCCTTCTGCAGGGAGCGCACAATGACCACCAAGAGGCCAGAAAAAAACACCACTTAAATATTGCATTTATTAAAGAAATGTTAAACACGAAAAAAAAAAGTCAAAAACGGTGTCACAAATGTCAAGAGCACTTTTGTGGCATAAATCGTGCAGTCACGAGCTACAGACACAGTTCTACTTCGGGTCTTTGCCAGGGGCCAGCTGTGGCGCCAGCCCCCCTCTCCAAAGACCCAGTTGTGAATGAAATAAAAGAAACAACTCACCCCGTTCACATTCGCAGGCTCCCCCTCCCCCACCCTTTCCCCACGATGACAAAACCCTAACTCCCGGGCAGGCAAACAGGTCACTAGGGCAGAAAAGGAGTTATCAAATATTTATAGTCAAGCAAACACAAAAACCCCTTAAAACGGCACGTTGCAATCAAGCAAAGGTATTCATCGCCTCTCCCGCCAGGGCTGGGAGGACCGGGAGAGAACGGGCGCCAATCCGGACACGGATTTGAGCCCCCATTAGTTTTGTTCCGTGGCGTCTGCACGGATCGCTTTCCAGGCCATCGGGCATCCGGTGCTGGTGGGTCTCTCCCCTGCCCGCCCTCTCCACCTGCCCCCAGAGCTTGGCCCACCTGCGGGTGGAGAAGGGCCTTTGCCCCGTCGGTTTTCCCGCATCTCAAGCAGCTTCCAAAGTTTGCGCCCTAATCTCCCTCTTCTTGCCACTTGCTGCTCAGTCCAGAGTCAGGGCGCTCTCCTCCTCCAGCCAGGCCTGGGGACTTTCCAAGAGCGAGCGAGAAACAGGTCGCTTCATCCCGAAAGGCAGGAGTCGGGAGAAATAATTGACTCCGACAGGTTTGCTTCGCCCGGTCTCGGATGGTGAGGGGGCGCGGCCGGGCTGGCGAGGTGGGGAGGTGTGGGGCGGCCGCCGCGGGGCCGGAGGGCCGGTCAGTAGGGCCCCACGACCACCGCCTCCACCTCCTTAGACGGCCTCCGGTCTTTCACCAGGAAGTTGATCATGCCCTCGGACTTGATGAGGAGGTTGCAGCCGAGGAAGAAGATGCCGAAGACCACGGTGAGCGAGAGCACGCACATGACGGCGATCTGCACCACGCGCATGATGTACAGGCTGCGCTCGTCCGGGCCGCCCTCGGCGAAGCCGTCGTCGGTCACCACGGACGCCTGGGTGCAGCAGCGCATCGCGCGCTCCAGCGCCTCGCTGCTGTTGGCCAAGAACAGGCCGGCCACATCCGTCTGGTTGCCCAGCGCGGGATTCATCGCCGGGGCGGGAAGGCGCCTGGGAGGCGCGGGTCCGAGGGGTTGGGAAGGCGGTGGCGCGAGAGGAACAGGTGCCGAGCGGAGCACTCCCTTTGCAGACTTTGCGCGCCCCGGAGCTGCTCGCTCTCTCCTTCCCCAGTCCCGGGCCGGTGAGAGTTTCCCAGGAGCCTTTCTGACGTGCGCCGCAGCCTGGCTGGTCTGCGCCGTCCGCTGCTCCCCGGGCGGTGCTCGTTCCCGGCGCTCGCTCGGCTGGGGGCTGTAGGAACTTGGCGAGGCTGGGCCGGGAGGGGCGTGGGAGGTGCGGGCGCGGCAGCGGCTGGGCCGCTGCTCCGAGTAAACAGCGACCCCTTCCGGCCGCGCTGCGGCTCTGCGTCCTCTGTGGTTGGGCGGTGGTGAGGCAAAGATGCGAACCTCCTGGTCTTGCTTTTCTTGCTTCGCCTCTTTTCCAGTTCCAAAGGCTAGACAGAGGTCGTTGTACTTCTCTGGCTTGATGGATGATTAAAGGGTTTCGGGTTGGGGGGATGGTTGAGATCAGCTGAAAGTTTCCGAAGAACTGGGTCACACCAGCTCTGCGCGCTCTTCGCCTCCCGCCCCTCTCACCTCTGGGCGATGGAAAGTGGCGAGCAATCCCAGGTGCCAGATGGTGGTTGCGAATGCACCGACCGGGCCCCTGTGTCTGACAGTGTCGCCTGAGAAGGATTTCTAGTGGAGTAGGGTTGACCTGTGTGTAGTTTTTAAAAAGCATCGATTTTAGGAAGAAAGAAAAGTAGGAAGAGAGGGAAGGAGGGAAAGAAGAAAGAAAAGGTGGGAGGAAGGAAAAAAGGGAGGGAGAAAGGAAGCTGTTAGAAAACAGAGTAAAGCGGGTTTTACACTGATTGTTAGGGCAAAGGAAAGGGGTTTATGGGAAGGAGGTGTTGTTCTTTGGTGGCGTTTGTGTGTAGGTATTTGCCGGGAGCAGGGCCACGGCTCTGGTAAGGGAGGGGAAGGTGGACAGAGTGGCCAGCCACTCTTGTAATCTTAATTGCAGATGAATTTTAGGATGTGTTTCTAATGTTTTTCTCTGTTGGCAGTAAATCAGTTGTTTAAGGGAATTGCTCATCACATCCATCACCTAGAATACTGGCCAACTGCTGGAAGCCCTCCCCATTTTCCATAACCTGATGTATTTCACCTTAGTCATTTAAAACAACACGACAGATGTTTTAGGGGCCTGATTGAAGATTCAGCTCATAATTTTGCTGTCAGTTTCAGTGAAATGTTATAAACTTGTCAGATTATTTCTTAAACTCTAGATTTTTTTTTTAAATCTTTTTTTCTACCTTCCTGCCCCCTCCCTCCTTCAACTGTTTTCTTTCAGCTGGAAACCTTGAAGCGTAGTCCAAACTTTTGATAGAATACATCTACTAACTTTCTATTATAACATAGTAGTGTTATGGTCACCAAAGGAGGAACGCACGAGGTCGTATGTGGTAAAGAATTATAAATTTATTAGATCATCTGGAGACCAGATGGGCTGAGCCCCAAAATGGTACCAGCCCCCCGGGGACAGGGAGTCAGGGATTTTAAAGGGCTCTGGATGGGCTTTTTTGGAGGGTAATTCTCTGGGCCTGTCTGGTCTGGATCCTGGGCAACTCTGGAGGGGAAAGTTACTGGTCTTAGCAAATGGAATGTGGTCTAAGCGAAAGGGAATGTTGGTTGTGAAGTGGTCTAAAGGTCAGTTTCCTGGGGGGGGGGGGGGTATATTGATTGGATTATCTGATCAGACTTAACAAGTAGCTGTTACATTTTCAACGCTATTCTCAATTCCGTTCTATATTCTTGTTAAACTCTCTAATTTTTGTTTCCCCAAACATCACTTATTCCATTCAGCGGTTTCCTTAAATGCTTTTGTACTATTTTGTGGCCATGATAAAGCTCTTTACGTCAGAGTTTTCAATTTTTGATTGTATATTAACTTCAATAAGTTTAGTTCCTTCTAGACTGCATTTTCTTTTTTTTCCTTTTGGGAGGATGTTTAGTATCTCAAGACCTATGCTGCTGGGCCTTGTCCACAATTCATCTGGTTCATTGCTCTAGTTTCCCATGTTTATATTAGCCTTAAATAATGCTCCACTCCCAATAATTTCTGTTTTCTAATTATTAATTCATCAGAAAAAAACTTATTTAAAAATCACTATACAATCAGTCTATCTTAGTTAATATGGGTGACACTTAAGAACAATAAAACAGTCCTAGCTGGTTTTGCTCAGTGGACAGAACATTGGCCTGTGGACTGAAGGGTCATGGGTTTGATTCTGGTCAAGAGCATGTACCTCAGTTGCAGGCTCCCTCCCTAGCCCTGGTTGGGGGCTTGTGCAGGAGGCCACCAATCCATGTGTCTCTCTCACATGGATGTTTCTCTCTCTCAGTCTCTCCCCCTCCCTTCCACTCTCTCAAAGTCAATCGAAAAATATCCTTTGGTGAGGATTAACACAAAGCAATAAAACATATGTATAAAAATTACAGGCGACTTTCAGACAATATGAAGCAATATTAAAATGAATGGCAGAGTCAAGTAGTAGGAATTTAGAAAAGCAAAAGGTGGAGAATAGAGATCAACTCCCAGGAATAATAATTTGCACAGGATTTTGTGTTTAGTAGAAGTTGAATTTTGATAAATAGAGAGAGAATAGCCCTTTTTTTATGTGACAAAAACAAAGAGTTATAGTACATTTGTAAGGTCCAGCATAGTACACTTGAGGTATAAACAATTCCTAAAAATTCTAATTTCCTCATTATCAGAATTTGAGTGTATTTGTTGATATTGACAGTATTACTGCTTTGATAAGGTAAGCAGTCAGTGTTAAAATGATTAAATCTTGGAGTCCAGTGAACATTTTATAATGTCAAACTTTTAGATTTGGGGAGCATCATCTTAAAAGAAGTAAAGTAACACTGTGACTTTGTTTATTTCTTTCAGCTTTAACTAACCAGTCAGGAAATTGTGAATGTGCTATTCCCTTGAGCTGGTTCCAATCTTTGGGAATATGGTTTTGTTTTCTTTATCTTCTTCCAACCCCTACCCCCCTCTAATGTTGTTGAATAAGGTTGCTTGGAGCATTTAGATGGAAATTAAACCTCGTAGTACAAAATTACATTTACCTCTCACTCATTACAACACCTAAGGGAATCTGGGCTGCTACAGCTTCTCTAAAGAAACTTTTATTTATTTTTCCATTTTGAGTGAACATTTTCCTCTCACCTTTACAACTGTTATATTCACCTGCTTCCTAAGGAAAGTACTAGAGATATGGAAAAGAATCCTTTAAGAAATGTCAATACAGAAAAACTTAATTTCTAGAATAATAGCTGGTGATGTGGAAGGGGTGACATAATGATAATTTACTTTAAATTAAAGGCTTTGATAATTTACTTTAAATTTAACTAGTGACCTCTCATACTTCATTGGAAAGAAGGCTTGACTTTCAGAACATTAAATGCTCAGCATCTATACTAATAAAAGGGTAATATGCTTAATTAGACTGGGCGTCTTCCGGACATCCATCCGGACGTCCTTTTGGACAAAGCCATGGTGGCGGGAGCCAAGGCAGAGGCGGTTAGGGGCGATCAGGCTGGTAGGGGAGGGCAGTTAGGGGCAACCAGGCTGGCAGGGGAGGGCAGTTAGGGGCTGTAGAGTGCCCCTGGGAAGGCGCACGGGTGTTTCTTTAATTATTGTCAGCTGAAGCCAGCAGCATTGGCAAAGCCACGTCCTGGAAACATGCTTTGCTAAAAGGCAGGAGTGTTGTCAGCTTGACCTTCAACCCATGTGCCAGGGGGTAGGTTTTGTTATTTAAATCCAGCCAAGCACCAGGAATGAATACAACTTGGGCCCACCCAAGAATGCACATAATCTCCTTTGTCTTGACTTTTAGTAAAACTTCCTGTTTTTTGCTGTATAAAATAAACAGGCTATATCAGCTCTGGGTCCCTGTCCCTGTGTCTCCATCAGAGAACAGTGGTTCCACCCAGCCCTAGCTTTTTCCTTCCACCTCTGTGTCTGTCTCTTTCTTTCATTTTCTCAATCCCCAACCACCCCTACTCAGGAACCAGACTGCTCTCTAGCAGCGTTGGACATGGAGAAGAGAGACATATTTACAAGGGGCGACCAGGCTGGCAGGGGAGGGAAGTTAGGGGCTATCAGGCCAGCAGGCAGAGGTGGTTAGGGGTGATCAGGGAGGCAGGGGAGCAGTTAGGGACAATCAGGCCATCAGGCAGAGGTGGTTAGGAGTTATCAGGCAGGCAGGCTTTGAGGTTAGGGGTGATCAGGCAGGCAGGCAGAGTGGTTAGGGGCCAGCGGTCCCAGATTTCGAGAGGGATGCCCCTGAGGGGTCCCAGATTGGAGAAGGTGCAGGCTGGGCTGAGAGACCCCCTCCCATGCACAAATTTCATGCACCGGGCCTCTACTTTCACAGTAAACATGTTACACAGGAAAGAAACACTTATCTGTTTTTCCCAGGAAATATCTATGACATATAATAAATACATTCTACCAAGATATTCCAGCCTGGTATTGATGGGCATCAATAAACAGTAGTCACTGGGTCTACAGTTTAAATAGTCTTGATGTACGACCAGAGGCTTTCAATGTTAAAACCTTTTTCTTGGTTCTTTCTTTGCATGTATTATGAAAATATTCAATAGACATTTAAGAAAGAATATCAGACATAGAAAGGATATTTATTATTTTGAGGCAAGCTTTTATTAAAAAAAATAAGCTACATTATATTTCACAATGTAAATATGAGTAAGACTGAGCACGCATATTCATTCATAAAAATAGACTCAGGCCCGGCCGGTGTGAGGTCACAGTTTGATTCCCGGTCAGCCAATCAATGATTCTCTCTCATCATTGGTGTTTCTCTCTCTCCCTCTTCCTTCCTCTCTGAAATCAATAACAATATATATTTTTTTAAAAAAGTAGACTCAGCATCTGGAACACACACACACACACACACACACATACACAAAGCCAGAAAAAATCAAAATAGGTTATTGAACTACCAAAAGAGAAACAATTCACTTCAAATATGTAAATTCATATATTTTTACCCTTAGA